AGGCCACGGGGGGGAAGAGCCAGGGGGGCGGCGGTCCTCTGCCGCCAGCCCCCCAGAGCACAGGCCAGCAGCCATTGCCTCTTCCCCACTGCGTCCCCCCATCCCAGTGCCTCTGTGAGGGTGGGGGAGGAGTTGCTCAGTACAGGCCCAGCTTTTCCCACTCAGTGCTCCAGGATGGGAGCACCCACCTGGCTGCCAGATTACAGGTGTGGCCGGACAATGGACGTCTGGATGCTAGAGATCCAACCGGCTCTTCTTCCCCGTCCCCTCAGAGTGCCCCAAACGGGCCATGGACATCGCACTCCTCTTCGACGGCTCGGGCAGCATCAAACCCGTGGACTTTAGAAAGATGAAGACGTTTCTCTCTGAGACCATGAAGCGTTTCCATGGCACCAACACGCAGGTAACAGGCAGAGGCAGAACCCTGCCTATTTACCTGCCCCTCGCAGGCAGGGCTGGCCCCAATGCCCCAGGGCAGCACTAGGGGGCGCTGTGCTCCAGGGAGCAGCAATGGATTTTGTATCCCAAGCCCTGGAAGAAATTCCCACAGAACCAGCTACCCCCGAACACCTGCCCCAGCCCTTAACTGAGTCCGATTCCTGCTTCTCTGACCCTTCCCCCCACTGGCTGTTTCTCTCTTTCCCCGGCCTCCCTCCGATAAGTTTAAAGAGCACTTCAACTTCACGGAGTACAGCAGAAATCGTGACCCGAACGACCTTGTCTGGAGAGTTCAGCAGCTTCGTGGAAAGACGCACACGGCCACCGCCATCCAGAAAGTGGTGTAGGTATCGCCCCCCTGCCTGTGTGGACTCCACAGGGAAAGGGCTGCAATGACTTGCAAGCTAAGCTAGAGGGACTCAGGATTCCTGGTTCTTTCCTGTGCTCCCTGCCCCCAGTCACCACTCTTCAGTACAGCTCTCCCCTGAGCTCCCTGCCCCCAGTCACCACTCTTCAGTACAGCTCTCCCCTGAGCTCCCTGCCCCCAGTCACCACTCTTCAGTACAGCTCTCCCCTGTGCTCCCTGCCTCCAGCAGCCACTCTCCTGTCGCGTCCCTCCGAACCACAGCCCCTCCCTTTGCATGTTAGGGAATCAGCGGGGAGCCAAGCGAGTCTGTAACGGAAAAAACAACAAATAGTCTGGCAGCACCGTAGTGACCGTGTCTGCGCGCTTTGTTCCTCCCCAAGATGCTGCAGGGCTGTTCCTTGTTTTCATGTTCTGGAAAACTCCTTTTCATGAAGCGTCCTGTTGCTCTGGCACAACCAAACTCCGGCTGAACTTTAAGACAGGAGACGAGGAAGCTGCATGCCAAGTTAGGTGGGCCTAGGTATCGCCATTAGGAGTTCTTGAACCAGTAGACTCACAGACAGACACAGAGAGGTAGGTAGGTGGAGCATTAACCCTTCCCTGTGTTCCCCTCCATTCCCAGGCAGGAGCTGTTCACCTCTGGGGGCGGCGCTCGGAGTGAGGCCTCCAAGATTCTCATTGTGATCACAGATGGGCGGAAATATAAAGACCCACTTTCTTATTCAGACGTTATCCCCGAGGCGGAGAGCGCTGGGATCACCCGCTACGCCATTGGGGTGAGCCACAACCGGGCGGAGAGCTGGTGGGGGTCTGAGGCCAGGGACAGGGTACAGGAGGGAGAGGATGGTTCCTTCAAGCACAGAAGACACAAGTGCTGGGACAGTGAACTGGACCAGTGATGCTATCGCAGAGCCGGCCTTTCACTAGCCTGACTGAGCAGCAGATTCTGGTAAAGGCTGTTCCACCCCCGCACTTGGTGGGGCTGAGCAGCACCAGCATGGCCCAGGTGGGGTGTCCCATCACAGGGCCGCTCTGCTGGCCTGGCAATGCAGGGCGCCACAAGGGGCTGCAGGGCAGGGCTAGGGACACGTGTGGAGTGACTTGACCCAGGGCTCAGAGCAGGGGGGCATGTGCCCAGGGCTCTTGGCTGTGACTGACGCATACACCTGGTCTCCTCTGAAACTCCCTCTACTCCGTGAAGGTCGGCGATGCCTTCTCCAGCGATGATGCTCAACAAGAACTCCAAGAGATCGCCTCTGCACCCGCCGACCAGCACGTCTTCCGGGTGGACAATTTCGACGCCCTCCAGGGCATCCAGAGCCAGCTGCAGGAGAAGATCTTCTCCAGCGAAGGTACCAGAGTCAGGGCAGGGCCGCACTGGCCCTGATGCTCTAGAGATGTGTCTCCAGGCCCAGGTGGGAGGGGGCTGCTGGGAATCCAGAGCTCAAATAGGCACCAATATTGTCTCTCTTTCCCCATCCAACATCTGCCTATTGCTCTCACTCCATGAATACTGCTGATACATTTGCCATCCGGGGACACCCAGGCAGGGGCCTGTCTGGTTCAAAGGACTGAGGGATGCGATACAGCGACCTTCTTTTCTCTCTGGATTGAACCCAGCCTCAAGGTGGGGGGAGGGGCTGGCTCTGGGGAGCAGGGAATGGGACACCGGTCCTTTCCCCTCTATGATGGTCTCTCCCGTGTCTGTCTGGCTGTCTATCCCCCCAGGCACCCAATCCCAGAGCGGCAGCTCCTTCCAGCTGGAGATGTCTCAGGCAGGATTCAGCTCCCTGCTGTCCCCGGTGAGTGACGCCCGGCCCTAGAGCCTGCCCCATTCTGCCCTGATGGATCTTTCAGCCTAAGGATCCTGAGCCTGGTTTAGGGCCTGCAAAGCTGCTGGCTCTGCTGCCCTGCTCACTCCTGTGCATCTCCTGGCCCCCTGCTGCCCATGGGTGACTCGAAAGCCCCAGCGACCCCTGCAGGAGTGGCGTGAGAGCTGCTTTTCCCTTGTTGCCTCAGTAGGGGGCGCTCTCTCCCCCCCAGCAATCCCCGCTGTCCCCTGTCCTGCGCTGAGCCGTGCTGTGCTGCAGATGGTGCGGGGATCTCGTGAATCTCTCCTGGGCAGCGCATTATCCGTCATCCCTCTCTTTGCCGTGCATGTCGGTTTAGGAGGGGCCGGTGCTGGGAGCGGTGGGAGCCTACGACTGGTCCGGTGGGATATATTCATATGGGACCAGTGGGGAGCCGAGCTTCATCAATGTGTCCAGAACCTCCAGCGACATGGATTATGCTTACCTGGGTAAGGACACAGCCAGAGAGCTTCCCTGGCCCTTCAAACAGCCCCCTCACTCCACC